GAAAACATCTTTTATTGCTGGGGTTCAAATCCTGGTTCCATTACTAATTAGCTATTTTTCTCCTAGGCATTCACTTAACCTCTCCGCGGCTTTTCTTCATCTGAAAAATGGGAATGATCAATGGTATTTAGTTTATAGGCTTATTTGTGAAGATTGAATGAGTAATAATGTGTGTAACGCACCCCAAAAGGACTAGTCACATACTGAGCGAGTTATAATTACAGAAATATTTAGTGTCGTTTCTTGGTATAGTTTCAATTTACAATAGTTCTGACACTTATTAAGGGCATGATTAATGTTAGCTGTTATTACTAACATTATTTCAAGGGAGTCTTATTATCTTTGGGTGAGGGAGTTTAGGTACAGAAGTTTATACATGTTAAGGAAGCCTGGAGGGACATGGCAGGTACTACCCAGCTTTAGAATTCTGTTTGGAATTTTAATATAAAAGTCGTGCTGATGATTAGCCCAAAGTCCTGCTGCAGAGAAGTGCGTGATGGGCTGTGTGTCCTGAGGCCTGCCTGCTGGCACTGCTAGGCTGGGTGGGCACAACCAAAGCAGGAATCCCATAACCCTGCAACCAGGAGAGGCTGACTTCATGGAGTGAGGCGTTAGTTACGCCCCCCCAAACCAGCTACAAGGCCTGATCCCAGCCCTGGCTTTAGATCGTGTTTTCCCAGCACAGCTGGCAACAGCTGCCTTCGCATTTGCGGCACTTCCTCTCCAATGCCACTCCCCGCCACGGGACCGCTCTCAGCTGAGAGTCACCATCTGTGACACAGGCTCGTTCAATACGCTTTTTAACAGATCAGAGGCCAGGTTTTGTTTTGCTTTGTTAATTGCATATCAAGCCGTCACCTGGAGCTTAATGAAGGGTATAAACATACTCATAAATTATCCAGTATTCAAAAGCAATTTTAATATTCCTATTGGGAGCCTCCTTATGCTCAAAGGAGCGTGCAGTATCTTGCAAAGATAAGCATTCCAGGGAACTGTTAATTATATGAACCTAGGGTGTTTGGGTGGCTGCAAATAGCGACTGATAGATCCCAGGAGTGATACAACATGGGACGTACATTTATAGTTGCTTGTTGGAAGACTCACTAGGGAACCGTTTTGAAAAGTAAGAGTGATCCATTAGATTGCTTCCCAATTCATAAGCAGCTGGCTGTGACAGCCATGGGGTTCAATGGGAAACCTAGGGTTTTTTGTGTCCCTGATGGGAGGCAGGGTTGCCCCTGGCAGCACTCTTGCTACTGAGGGGTTAGGGTGGTGGCAGGAGGGAAACACTGAGTCACAACCACTGAGGGTACGAAACCCATGACAAAATGCTTCTGGCAAGTGGGAGAAGGGGACGTTTAATCTCAAGTCTGTCTCCTTGTTCTACTTTCCCTACCATTTGCAACTTGTTCTGCTGATGGTTCTAACCAGAAGGTCAAGCCTTGTCCCAAATTCTGAGCCAATCTCAACAGGGAAAAGCAGGGAGTTTTTATCCTTTCATTTATAATAGCTGCACACAAAGATGACAGGCATTGCTCAAGGCATGAGGGGATAGGAGAATATACTGTAGAAGGCACGGTCCCTTCTTCAGAGTAACTCACTGTCTAGGGCTGGAAATGGACACAGAAATGAGCCTGGTCTTCCATTTGTTCTTCCAGACACTGGCCTGCCCCAGAGTTAGTCTCCACCTGACTCTGGCTTGCTCGAAAAATTCGGCCTCATATGCACTCCACTGTGGCCCTAGGCTGCCAGAAAGTGACGGTGCTTAGTACCTACCTCTCAAGGTATGGCCCACCTATGGAAGAACTCCTCTTCCCCCACCCCTTAGCCTCACAAGCACAGCTTGGAGTGACTTTCTTAAAACGTTCTATGTGCTTCTCTGGTGGTTGGAATCAGTGCTAGCCAGATGGGGTGCTCTGATCTCAGATGGAACCTGCGTGGGCCCTGCCCTGGCTTCTCCCCTTGGGGACACTCTCTGACCAGCTACCCCATGCATGAGCTCTACCAGATGCCCCCTTTTCCCTCTCCAGGAGAATGGCCTGGCGGTCTGATTGCTCTGGCGGCTGGCATGATATTTCTTTTGTGTGACATCAAGCTGCTGGAATAGGACTGACATGCTGAGTTTTAGTAACTCTCACTCCTGTACCACAAATAGCCAGTTAGAGGCTCTGGGCCACTGCTGGTCCTCAGGCTTAATTGTATGTGTGTCTGTGCTTAGGCTCTTGCCAACTCACTTTCTGACCACAGAGCTGCCTCCAGCCTACAGACTCAAGTGCAGTGGTTGGTGGCAGCCTTCTCATACCCCCTGCAGCCTCCTCAGGCTTCGCATCCTGTGACTTGGCAGGCAGTCCCCCAGGAGTGGCTATGCTTATCTCCTCAGGGGACTTTTGAGACCAACTGTTGCTCTACAAGACTGATGAGCCTCTGACCAGTGTCTTCTCCTGTCTCCAACCAATGTGGTGGCTGCTGCTCCCCTGGGTTGGTCTAGCACTGTGCTATACCATGGGACACGTTCCTGTACGGATGAGGACACTCTTCTTGCTCTGCTCATGCCCCCCCAACCAATCTTAGGAAGGACTCATGGTTTTATGCTTCCTCTTCAGAATTGGACTAGAGGGTTCAGGGAAAAAGAAAGAGAATAAAATAACCTCAGGGAATTAAGTTTTCAGGGAGAGAGAATGGATTTGATAAAAAAAAAAAACAGGAAATCAAATTTGTTTTCTTTGGAGAAGAGAAGGCAGATGGCTGCTTAATTCTTGCCTTCAGGTATAAGCAATGATTTTATGCAGGGGAAATAGACAAATTATTCTTTATGTCCGAAAAGACTAGCAGCAGAGCAGCACTTCCAGACCGTGTGTGTGTGCTCTTTCCTGACTTGCTTTTTGCTCTTCCATGTTGAGGGAAAGTAACTGAGGTTTATACGCACACACACACACAAAATCCTTTATCAGCCCACATTAGCCTAATTTCTGTGGACTGTGTTCTAGGCACACCGAATATTCCCACCATTTCCCACACATGCCTCGTTCCTTTATCCATGGCACCTTCCTTGCTTAAAATGGGCTTCCCCACCCCTGCCCCTCTCTACTCTAGTTAATTCCTACTCATCTTTTAAGGCCCAGCTTAAATGTCATCACTTCTGTGAAATGTTCCCCTCAAGCTAAGTCCAACCGAGTCCTATTTCTGCATTGCTGAACTGCCTTCCCACACTACTGTCTCTCCTCTGGACTGACCTCACTGGGATAGGAGTCATGTTTCAGTCTGCCAGTCAGTCAATTAGCAAATGATTGTTGGGCACCTACTACATCCGGACACTGGGCTGGGCACTGCAGATACACCCATGAGCAAGAAAGACAGATGACTCCCCTCTGGGGGGTGTGGTCTGGGGTGGGATAGGAACAGATGAAGAGGCAATTACAATGCAATGTGACAAGTAGGAGCCCTGCACGTGAAGAGTGTAGGGCAACGTGCTCCAGACAGAGAGAACGGCATGTGAGAATGATGGTGGCAACAAAGAACGTTACACGTTGGTATGTTTAAGGAAGAGAAGGAAGTCTCTTACACATTGGTATGTTTAAGGAAGAGAAGGAAGCTCAGTATTACTGGAGAATAATACTGGCAAGAGTTGGGGACAGAGAGCAGGGGCTACATTTATTCTGTGTCTTTTGAGCCCTTTAGGAAGACTGAACTTCCTCCTAAGAGCAATGAGGAGCCTCTGAAGGGTTTTAAGTAGGGAAATGGCATTCAGATTTGTACTTTGAAAGATGATTCTGGCTGTGATTGGAAGAACAGATGGGCTGGAGATAAGATTGGAAGCAACGACAACAGTTAGAAAGGGTGCTGGTGAGAGTGATGGTCATCTGCTCCAAGGTGGGACAGTGGGAATGAAGGCAAGCGGCACTGGCAGAGGTGTCTTGCAGGTGGAATGGGTGGGTTTGGTGGTCTATTGGCTGTGGCTGCAGATGGAGGGGAGGAGGCTCCCAGGTTCCCTTCTTAGACAATGTTAATTTCCTACGGCTACCATAACTAAGTGCCACAAATGACCCCAGACATTCACTGAACAACAGACATTCACTATCTTCCTGTCCTGGAGCGGGGAAGTCAAGGTGTCAGCAGGTCCATGCCTCTTCTGAAGGCATTAGGGAAAATCTGTTTCAGGCCTCTCTCCTCGCTTTCAATTCAGCCCACAAAAAGGGGAAAAGGTAGAGTCATGTACTAAGACAACTCATGCTGTGGAACAGGTTTGGAACAGGTTTGGTGATAGCTGAAGGCTTGAGCGTGGGGCATGTTGAGCTTGGGGGACCCGTGGAAAACCCATGAGGACGTATCTAGAAAACTATTTGATATATTGGGTTGGTGCTTTGGAGAAGGTAGGCATGGAATGGGCTGGGAATATAGATTGGAGAACTTATGGCTTATAGGGTGGATAAGATGGTGAATCTTTGGGGTAGGCCAGACCGCTTGGGGAAAATGAGCGAGTCATCTTCGTGACCCCAGCACCTAGCCCAGCCCCTGCCATTGCTGTAAATGTTTGATGAATAACTGCCTGATGGAATGAAAGAATTTCTTCAGCCCTCCATTAGTTGAAGATTAGAAGGCTTTTCATAGGTGATTACTCACGCTCCTCTGGCTCTGTGACATGGAGGGTGTGTACTTCGTAGGAATGAGAAGCAAGCATCCTTAGGTTCCACCTCACATTCTTCTCGGGTGTAACTTAATGAATTTGCCCAAAGCTCCCCACTCAGCATCCCCCAGGGAAAGCCAGGAAGTCAGGGGCAAGGGGTCCCCAGATTGTGCCCATCTTCTGACTTGCATTAATAAGAACAACAGTCTGTAGCAGCATTTCCTTTTTGCCTGCAAATCTTCACCTTTGCAATCAGCCTGGCTTTTCAATAAATTGTAACGTAATTTGCAAATAAAGCCTGTTCTAAACTGTGTCCTTTCCCCCCATATCCCGAGACTGATGGTCATTTGATCTGGGGGGTATCTGGAGCTCTCACCTTGCTGTGCTGGAGTAGGTGTTCTTGGGATGGGGGGGTGTCATGGGGTGGTGTCATCGTCTGCCGGGCAGTTGATCCAGCTGCCTTTGTGCCTGTTGCCTGGTGACACCCAGAGGCGCCTCTCTCAGAACCGCACTCAGCCTTGCTATTGGTCCGGTGGTGGCATTTGTTGACAATAGACACTTCCCTGCCTCTGCATTCTGAAAGAGACCTTGGAAGCTTGGGTTTCAAGCTATGGTGCTCGTCCAAATGCGTTTCCTTAACTCTTTACATCCTCTGCAGAAATGCACAGAGAGCGTCCACCCTAGCTCTATAGCAAGGCTCTTCCCGGTTCTACGGCGTGCAGTAGGCTGGGGTGCTTTCTTTCCGCTGTGTGGCTGTGGCAGGACAGAGTTCTCTTCTCACTTCTTCCTAAGTTTTCTTATGACAGCTTAAATAAACAGACTTTGTTAGCACAACAAGTGATCCGAGTTGAGCTAGGAAAGGCAGTCAATATTAGCAAGAGAAAGGTTTGCTTTGTCGATAATATATTTGAAGAATACAAAAGACCAAAACTTCTTCTTGGGGTGCCCAGGAGCTGTAGATGTGACCTGTGCCTTCCTGTAGTGGAGCTGGGGCCAGGCAGGAGAAGAGAGGGGGAGAAGAGGACTGGGTGACTCTGAAGAGGTGATGAGGGTAGGAACAAGACAGAGAAGGGGTTCTGGATGTCCCAGGGTGGACCCTGCTGGATCAATGAGTGCATCCATGGCCCCCAGGGGTGGTGCCATTTATGGAGGCCAGTTCTCCATGTGGTGAGCACCAGGCAGCTCCCCAGACCCTCCCACATTTTGCCCCTTCCCTGTCTTCTGCCTCAGGCACCCGTTAGAGAAGGGGTCAGCAGAGGTTAAGGCTTCAGACAAGCTGAGCCAGGGCACCCGCAGTGAGGACTAGAAGTTACCCAGTTCTGGCTGGCTTTGTGAGGGGCCCAGCTCTGATCTTTTAACTCTAGCACTCAGACTCTTAGGTGAAACCCTCACCCCATACCCCACACCCCACACCTTTGTACCCTCTCTTTCCTCCCATCTGTAACAAAACCATTTACCTTTAGGCAGGGAAAGCAGAGGATCTTGCAAAGACCAAGCAAGCCCGTGTGTCAGGAATGAAGGAATGCTGGTAAACATTCTCCCTCACTTTTGGTGGCCCTACAGCCAACTGCCAGTGCCCTAACCTGTGCTGCCAGAGAAGGCCCCAAGAGAATCTCGAGACAGGAGAAGGCATACCGCGTGCTTTCCAGCTGTGTCCTCAGCATTAACTGACCTGAGTCTACCACAGTAGTCAGCACCCCAGAGCAGGGAGGCTCAGAGCTGGGGCAGAAGTGCCAGGACCCCGTGACCAGACAGGTCCCAGGGACACGTGGGTCACAGAGATGTCTGCCAGGGCCCCCCGGAGACCAGATGCCCCAGTTTTCTCTGTCTGAAGTGCAACACTGTGTGGGCTGCATCCCAAGTGACCTCTCTCCAACAGGGCCGTGGATCCTATTTACATATTTGATACCTTCTTTCATTTTCTTAGGTCATCTTTCTGCCAGCAGCAGGTGTTCTGTGGCATCCCTGGTGTGACTCTCCCTCTTCCGCACGCTGAGATCTGAGGACAGGGTGCCATCCACGCCCAATTCAGGTGTAACACCTCCGCTGAGAACAGGGTAGTGTTTTGCCACCACCAGTTTCCTCATCCACTGGAACTAAGAACCAGTTGGAGATGTTGGGTACAGCTAGGTTTTGGTTGTCTTGTTTTTCTTTTTTTCAGAAAGAGGAATCTGGCACTAATTTGAGTGCAATGACTTTCAAATGTTTTATGGATGTTTTGTTTTGTTTTTGCTTATAGGAATTATTGGGAACAGAAAAAGTGTTGGAGGAATACATATGGTAAGATCCATCCCAATATTAAAAGTGAAAAGGACAGCAAGGACTGGTGACCTTGCAATCAAGTCTGGGAAAGATTCTGGAACTAAATTTTTACAACAGTGCATTCGTTTCCTAGGCTGCCGTAACAAAGTACCACAAACTGGGTGGCTTAAATGACAGAAGTTTATTGTCTCGCATTTCTGGAGTTGAGGAGTCTGGGAGCAGAGTTCAGGAGGGTTGGTTCCTTCTGAGGGCTGAGAGGAGGCATCTGTGCCATGCTGCTCCCAGCGTCTGCCAGTTTGCTGGCAACCTGTGACATTCTTCGGCTCGGGGAAGCATCACTCTGCTCTCTGCCTTCGTCTCCACATACCATTCTCCCTGTGTGTGTGTGTGTGTCCATATTCCCCCCTTTATAAGAACACCAGTCGTATTGAATTAGAGCCCCACCCCCCCCCCCCTAACCCCCCACCCCCCACTCCAGTATGACTTCCTCTTAACCAGTTCCATCTCCTGTGACCCTATTTCCAAATAAGGTCACAATTCAAGGAACTGGGGGTTAGGACTTCAACATAGCAGAGAGCTTTTGAGCCTTTGCTAAAACAATCAGTCATTTCTAGAAACCAGTGTGAGCTCACTAAGAACCGACTGTGTCCGTCCAACCAGATTTCCTACTCTCAGGGCTCAGAACATGATACCTCAAAGTACGGCGCCTTTGGGTCTTCATTTCGGAAGGCTCCCATGTCTCGTAAAACTTTGATTAAATAAATCTGTCATGCTTTTCTCCTGTTAACCTATCTTTTGTTACAGGAGTGCTGGCCATGGCCCTTATGGTGAGGAGGAAAGGGATCATGCCTTTTCCACCCCTGGGCGACTGATTACCTGAGAGAGAGGCAGGGGCCACAGCCCAGCTACCATATGGCCACACCACAGGGTGATGATAAACATTTGCCTACCTAACCGTGTGTCCTGATTTCTCATTTGTTCCAGGGTCTCTACAATTGAGACGTGACATAGTTTGCCAAGGATATTAACCCCCAAGTGGCTTCTGCATTTGGCCTGGTGGTCTAGGAACTATCACCAAGTTATTCGGGTGGCAACCAGGGAGGCTGTTCTCAGGATCTTTCATAACTACATCTCTAAAGCTGGGAAAACAATCTCCTCTCTCTTCCCTTGTCATCATACCACTTCCTTTTAATTTCCAAGTCTCATTTGCAGCTCTTCCCACAGTGCGTCTGAACGACGGCGAGTCTCTGTGTGGGCCAGGAATAACAGCGCAGAGGAGAGTGGGTGGCAGGCCCTAGCACCAAGCCTGGGCCTCCGCTTCCCGCCATTGTTCCCTCCGTCAGGTTGGGGCTGTCCTAGGGGGAGGGGGGAGTTTTTCCAGATAAAAATGTCCTGGTTGGCTGCCAGCGATTCAGGCAGGTTCACAGCCCCAAACCTCCCATAGGTGAGCAGTGACTCAGACTGGGATCCCGCCCCATCTCTCAGGCTTATCACTTGTCCTCAGCTGCCAGGGACACACAATGGGGGCAGAGAGGCATCTGGGCTGAGCCAGGCCTTGGGCAGCCGAGGGGGGTTGAGAGGTCTCCAAACAAACAGGCACGGGCAGTCTCATCAGGTCACTCTAGATAGTTCCTTCCACGTTAAAAAAAAAAAAAAGCATGAATTCTATGAGTTCCCTTGGGAATATAGCATTTCCTGAGACTTGCGACAGCAAAACTGGATATTTCTGTGTCTGTTGGTTCATCACTTCTGCAGACCTGCTGTTTCAAGAAGCCCAGGACTTCAGGTGAGAAAGTGTTCAGGGGAGACAGGGCTCCAAAGGACCTTCCAGAAAGATGGTTCCTGCCCCCTGCCAACTTCATTTGATTATAATAGTAACCTTGATCAGTAAAATCTGAACAAACTCTGGATTATAACTTACCTCAATTCCCTAGTTTTCATGTTGTGCTGTAGTTACGCCATAGGTTACTACTGGGGAAATTGGGTGAAATCTATAGTTTTTTGCAACTTCCTATGAATCTGTAATTATTTTAAAGTAAAAAGTTTTTTTAAAAAGTAATCTTGATAATTCTGCAAAACTTAGTCAATATGCCTTGTCTTTGAAAAAGCCTCACAGCAGAATAGCTGAGAGCACAGGCTTTAGGCCAGACAGACCTCCGTGCAAATGGAGGCCTCACCACCTACAAGCTGTGTGAACTTGGGCAAGTTACTTAATCCCTCTGATCTTCGGTTTCCTTATCTAGAGGGTGGATCTTACTGCTTCCCTGGTAGGGTGAGTATGAGGACAAATGAGGTAACTCTCGGAAAGCACCTACCAGGGTGGATGGTAAGCACTTAAGAAATATCCTTTTAAAACTTTAATCTAAAGGCCAGGCATGGTGGCTCACACCTGTAATCCCAGAACTTTTGCTTGAGGCCAAGAGTTTGAAACCAGCCTGGGCAACACAGTGAGACCCTGTCCCCGCAAAAAATAAAGGTATTTTCTGGATATGATGACACACCTGTAGTCCCAGCTACTTGGGAGGCTGAGGCAGGAGGATTGCTTGAGCCCAGGAGTTGGTGGTTGCAGTGAGCTACAATGATGCCACTGCACTCTAGCCTGGGTGATAGAGCAAGATCCTATCTCAAAAAAATAGGTCCTAACGCCAGCCTATAGTCATGCCCTTTCTAGCCTACTTCCCCTGCCCAAGGCCTATATTCTAGACGTCCTGGTTACTCATCATTTCGCAGATACCACCTGGCTTTCTCCAACCAGGTTGTCCTTCCACCTGGAAAGCCCCTCCCTGCGCCCACTCCTACAGGGCCATCCCACTCTGCCTGTTCCATCTAACCCTGCTTTCCAGTCTTCCATCAAATGCTTTATCTTCCTTGAAGCCTTCAATGAATCACCATTCAGAAGGTTCAGTTCCTTCTTTGACCTTTCCCAGGCGCTGGTTTGCCTCCTCCCCACAGCCTTCACCACATTAGTTCGATATAGATCTACTGTGTTCTGCAGACCACGCTCTGTGCTGGGCGCCAGAGATGCAATGAGGGACAACAGAGCTGGAGGAATGTGTGCGCCCGTGGTGGGGGGTGAGTGGGGTGATAGACACTAAAGAAGCAGTTGCACAAGTCAACACACACACGCACAGTGCGACAAGTGCCATCAAGGCACAGGGGACAGAGGAATTGTGATTCGTGCCTTAAAGGGAGATCTTTT